AAAGCAAAAAACTCATTCCAAGGGTGCTGATTTGTACATCTGATTAGCTTCTCAAAAGTTTGGGTCTTACTCTGTTCCTAGTAAACTCGTGTGATTGACGTTCATTGGCCAGATGACTCAAAGCCTCATTTCTTTTCATGCTGATTCTGGAAGACTTCAAATGGTCATCATGACAGATAAAAGAGCATGTTTTTTGAGCCTTTCCTTAAGTATTAAAACAAAACAGGCTCTCCCTATAGGCCATCTGTATTTATTTTCCTGTGTACAGCTTCTAGCATTGCAGAAATATAACAAGCTAGAGGGAACATCATCATTATTGCTTTGCTGAAGATAATGACATTGACATGAGGTTTTCTGTTGGGGGATTAAAGTGGAAAATATTGGTGTCAATCCATTAGGAACAAGAGAATCCATTTGAAAAAAAGGAATTCAGTGTAAACCACAAAAAAAGTGCTTTGTTTCTGGGTTGGGTTTTTTGTTTTGTTTTTTCCTGGTTGTTAGACTGTTCTCATCCCTGCTGTAATTTCTAAACACTGGATTTCATGTGCAGGTTGGCAGGAAAGCCAGTACTATTCCAGGATAGAGGCTTCGAGGCTTCAGCTGGGATGCTGCTGCTCATGTCATCTACTCACCTCTTTTAAAATAGACAACTGGTTGTTGTGTAGGATCTGAAATCTGATCCAATAGATTTCAGTGCACACTGTTTTCATCAAATTTGACCATGGTTGCCACTGGTGGTTGTTTGCTGGCCTGCTTAAGGTGGGTCAGTGGCCTCTGGACTGTTGCTTGTACGCAAATGCTCGTGTTTCTGTAATCCCTGGAAAAAAATTTGCGTCTGCTGATGGTCTGTGTTAAAGTGCTGACAGTAACTGAGTCTAACTAAGCTTTTACCTGCAAAGGTCTGTGGTGCATAGGAGCCGAAAATGTAGGCAATCGCTATATCTGTTTTTGTAGCGATGGTGGAGCAGGGACAAAGTGAAGACAAGAGGAGGTGGGAAATAAGGCTTCAAACATTTCCTTTAAAAATATTTTTTACCCTTGTTTTTTAAGATTTAGTCTTCAGTCTCTTGACAACCAGTGAACTGTAGGATTCCATGTATTTCACAGCCTTAATTTTTATTTAATTTTTTTTTTCCTACTGAAGCATTTTGGTATGAGAGCTGGCATGGTTTATTATCCTGCTATGCTAATATGCAGCAGCAAACTTGGCTTCCAAGTGCATTTGTGTGTTTCTGTGGGGAAACAGTGAGAAAGAGCACACATTACTGCTTGTCTATGATGTAGGTCCTGAAAACTAGGATGGACAACTGAACAGTAATGTATTCAAACCAAAACTCTAGGATTTATTATACTTGCCTTTTTTGTGTTTTGTGGTGCTGTGGGGTTTTTTTGAACAATAGGTTTTATATCCTGAAGATTTTCTTTGAAGCCATCACAGAGAGTTGAAGCTTTTGTTTTCAGTGAGAAACCTGAGATTCCTCATAATTTGCCTGATAGTGGGAACTGGAATACTTAACTAAACATCAATTAACAGGAAATACATGCTTTAAGCCATGAGAATTTGGCAACATTGAGGGCTGTGTCTACTGATAATCTTAAGATAACGCCATAGTCTGTTTCCAGTGGTTTCCAGGAATCTGGAGTTGGTTAGCAATAATGAGTCAAAGCTATGTTTATGTGTATGGATGAGGTATATGTCACATAGTGGAAGTCACAACTGACATCTCTGCTTGCAGCAAGTGGGCTCGTACCTGTGAGCCATTCATGCAAGTGGAGAATCACTATGGGATGAGAAGGATCCTGATGTATAGGTACTGCCAACATCAGCCAACTTTCAGTCACAGGAGCCGTTCAGGCTCAAATGATTTTTACCTCTATGCTTAGCAGCTTTATCTGGAGAAAAAAAAAAAACCCTTTGGTTTCACTCTGTCAGGGTTCCATCCTGCCTGCTGTTGCCATCTCTTAGTTAAGAGTACGCTGTTTGGTCTTAAAGCCTGCTCATCTCTTCTGAGAGCGGACATGGTGATGCTTACTGGGAGCATAAGTGTCTCAAAATTCTTGCTGCAGCATGTGTTACCTTTGAGACCACCAAAACATTTCCTGATCCATAATACAAAAAGGGCTTACTCCCCTGGGGTGGGCTTGTAGGGTTTTGTCAGATGTGCCTCTGTTTAGTTTCAATTGATGGTTAGCTACCAGGTGTTCACTGAGGATGGGCTTTCTAATGTTTTTGCTCATTTTTCTGTTCTGTGCATTTTTGACAGCTCTTTTTTCTGGGTATGATTTTTAAACTTTTGCATTAAATTAAGTGTAATCCTTCCCACAAACTTTTCTTGGAATCTGCATGGTGTGTGTTGCAAACAGAAGTGACCATGCGTGCATTCTTCCATCCCTATCCCTTTCCCTTTGAGCTCTGGCAGTGGCTGTTCAAGTTCGATAGTACCCTCAGCTTCTACAGTGAAAATCCTGTTAATAAAGCAAGCAATTTAAGACAAAACCAGCATTTCCATCCCACAGTGTATGCTGATCAGCTGGTGCTTATAAATTCTGTACAAACAGATAATATTTCCATTAAAGTGGTTCTATAAATGGCTTGGTGGGCACCTGTGTTTTCTGTGGCATTGCAGCATGTGATACTCAAGTTGCTTTAAGGAATTAGAGGCTGAAATTTTGCCGCAAGCTTCTGTAGACTTCTAAAATCCCAACAAGCCTATGAAATTTTGCTTGCTTGTAAATAAAGGTGGGTTTTGCCTAGCAACAAGTTTTGTGGATTCTACCTGAGGATCGAAAACACAAGTGCATTTATTCAGCCTTTTGCGTCACTTTGGTACTGAAGGCTTTGACAGTCAAATCATCGCTGACATTTCTGTTGATGTGCAAGAAAGAATGATCTAGTATGTCTTTCCTCAGCAGTGCTGTCACTGCAGGACTGACAATAGTAAAAAATGCATTCATCGCTGAATAACCAGATATCCTGGAGACACACAAGAAACAGAGATGTATTTTTCAATCAAAATGTCTCACTCCTAATGGCTATTTTCTGACTGATTCATTTTTGCTATTTATACTCTTCCTGAAGTATTTTATAAAAACCTGAGTCCCTTCGAAAACCCACCCAAACAACCAAAAGTGTATTTTACGTATCGTAGTGTGTAAATGATTAGTCATCACTTTTAAGTTGCCTAATGGAGGAGGAGGAAATTTATATTGAGGGAAGGTGAAGAGCTTGATT